CTGACTGGAGCAAAAGATAATAAAATTTGTGACAGTCCGACTTATGAATTCTTCAAGGGCCGATATCTCAGAAACTATTGGTTTTAGAAGAATGAGCACCATGACCTTTCTTGCTCAGAATGACGAGATCTACCGATTTAGTTAATTTCCAGATGGGGTTTCCATAGGAAATAAGCGAGATTGGAGTCGTATCTCGAAGACCAGCACTCCGAGAAAAGGAGAGACATCATTTCCGGATGCATCACCAAATTCAGCGAGGGTCACCCATCGTACTTTTTTCTCTAGACCTCACCGTTTCCGAGAAAAATGTCTTTCAAAAAATCGGGACCACCCTGAATGTACATCTTCACAATGACCGTTGTATCGTTCTGTCATTTCACAAGAATGCTTCTTATATTAAGGATTCATTTCGAAAGTGTGGGCGATGCCACAGAGGAATTCTATCAAAGTGTTGAAACTGAGTCTCTCGATTATCCGAAGAATACGCTGGTCGTTTTCGACGTATTTGTTCCGCTTCTCTGTCGCTGCGAACCCAGCGATGTAGCGTTCGAGCTTCGCGTCCTTGTCACGTTGGGCGTCTCGTATACCGTCAATGAACTTCAGCAATCCTGGATGATCCACCGCGAACTGGCGCTGCATGGTTCAGTGGAATGCTTCATCGAGTTATTCGTTCTCGAATCTCCCTCGACCGTACGTTGATGAACAGTCCACATGGGCACGGGAAAAACAGCTTCCCGCCGTCCAGCTGTTCCATCGTTCCTGCTCTGGAGTCTTCCCATGTAATAATCCTCGAAGTAGTCGAGGGAGCCTTGAAGCTCGTCTCGGAGCTCGTCTCTGAGGTCGCGTAAAGCTTCTTCCAAGCGATCGGTCGGGAGAAAAGCCATCGCTGATATCATTCTTGCCCTCAAAGCGAAATCGGGCTCGCGAGCCCGATTGCCGAAGCTCAAACACTGAATCCTTTCTGACAGAACATCCACAAGTCGGGATGGAGGTTTCGGTATCATAAGTCGTCGCGCAATTTTAGGGTCTTGCTGATTGTGTCAGATGGAAGTCGAGGACCTGAACCACAAGTTCGCAAGCGGACTCGAACCTCTATCTCTTCTAGTTCGCTTGCCAGGAAACGATTTTCCATTTTCCCATAGGCTTCCATGTTAAATATTTTACATGAAGGCCTATGGAAACCAACAAATCGTTCGCTAGTGAGCGAATCCTGAGGCGAATTTTAGAATTCCGAGATATACGAAATCCTGATTTAGGCCGGAATCATCGATGGGGACACTCATTTTGGGCCTCACATTACCGGAAATATTTTTGATCGCTCTCAGCTCAAGATACCCCAATGTGGCTCGGTCCGATATCTCCTGTTGAGTCCTCTGGCGGCTACCTGTTTCTTCAGATTCTGTACCAAGTGGAAGAAACATCCATGGATTTCCGCTCTCGGGAAAAACGCCTCGAATGGATTCATCAGCGCCTTCCCGTAGTCCCTTGAAATTGCCTCTGGATTCAAATCGGGCCATTCGCGGGTCAGCATGTTCAGCATCTGAAGAGGAGATCGCGTCGTATGACAACGCATACCGAAGGAGCCTCTATCAGGGAGCTTCAGGCAATGAAAGAATAATGTACGATGACTCACCTTGCAGTACGATTGCTCAGTCTTGTTCGGGAGTAGTGCGAAACAAACGGGAACCTCGCAGTCTGGACGCTCAGCTAGGTTCACGAAGACTTGAGAGAACAGTCCAGGAGTCAAACTAAAAGTTCCATCGACGTAGAGTTTCTTCGCCCGGCCGATCCACTCAGCAACCGATGCTCTCCCAAAGATAAGGATTCGATAGGGATCGTCGTCACCGCTGTCCCCGAGGAGGAAGTTCTCAAAGTTTCCCGGGGTACTCTCATACCGACGGTACTCCGGCGGGATCACGATCGATTCCAATGTACTATAATCCAGGCAGGGTACGCCGAGGCGGTTCCGAGTTCTCTGTACTAGGTCTATGCATCGAAAATTACGGTTACCGAAAAGATGGCGCCACATGCCGCCAGCTGAGCAGACGACGCTCCGGTCGGGGGCGCTGTCTTTTTCGTCCTCCAGCATGTTGTTTACAGCGGGAATTCAAATTTTCGAGGAAGAGAAAAATTTTCATCCGTCGCGGAAAATGTCGACTTACGTAAAAGTGGTTCAAGAAGTTCGGAGAAGGTGTGTT